ACGCGTGCACGTGCACGAGAATATAAGAGCAGAAGTGTGCGTGTAGCTAGCATCTTTCGTCGTTTTCCAAGCTGCTCGAAACCGAGAAGAGCTGCTCTCTTCGAGGAAATCTCGAAGCGGCTCCGATTCGTCTCGGAGCTAGCATTTTCCGAGCACCGACGAACAGAGCCGGCTTCGCGGCTTTCCTCGTTTCAAGAGCGCGGAACATCGCGCGAATGGTTGTATGCGACGACTAGAGACACGGGACACGGTCGTCGTCGTTATCGTCGTTTCGTCGTCGTCGTCGTCGTCGTCGTCGTCGTCGTCGTCGTCGTCGTATTCCTTTGTGTTCTAATAACCCGGCAAGGCATGCGCTTCGATGTCTAGAAGCTAGCCGCTGCGATTCCTACACTACTTTTTGTTTATTCTTTCCTTCTTTCGAACCTGCCGAATAATTCCTGTTTGCGCCACGTCGTCGCGTCAACGTTCGCATCGTTTCGTCATCGTTCTTTAATCGAGATTTCTTTACAGATGCTCCCTTATTCCCGATCGTGAGGCCGCGGCTGCACGTTTGTCCGCATTGCGGACAAATGTATTCCTGGGCATCGAATCTGCGGAAGCACCTCAAGATGGGCTGTGGAATGGTTACGCTTGAGACTCACTTCTCCTGCCAGTATTGCCCTTACAGATCGAGGATCGAGGCCTCGTTTCTCAAGCACCTGCTCTCGGTGCACAACATCAAGTAGACGGCTGATCGCGCTGAACCTCGATTATCGTCTACGACTCGTTTCGTGATCGTTCAGCGATTCTCGTACCGAGCCATAGAGGTTTTTGGATCTCGCGATGGAACTCGTTCTTCCACGCATATACTCGGAAATCCTCGACGAGTCGGAACGTTTCGAACACGTTTCTTCTCGCGTTTGTTTTCTTTTTCTTTTATCTTTTTTTCTTCTCTCTTTCCGACGCGTTTACGACGAAACTACGACGAAGCATCTCCGAAAGTGTTTTATCGTCGTCGACGGATTAAGTATTTGTAATGGTTTGCGTCGAGCATTATTATCGCGTGTCGCGTATCGATGCTATACCGCGACTCTGGAAATAACCGTTATCGTTCTTCGGTTAATCGAATCTAGTCTAATGGCTGTTTTTTTTTTTTTTTTTTTTTTTTCCTCCCCTTATTTTTTCCCTACCCCACTCTGGTTTTGCTTCTTTTTCTTCTTTCTTTTATTCCTCCTTTTCTCGTTCTCTCCTCGTATATCGTTTAACCGTTTACGTAGCATCGATCATCGATAGTTGGTTAGTCACGTTCAGTGCGAATTACGGTTTTCTTTGTACTTAATGTCAAGATTTTTCACCGTATCGACGAGAGTAACGATAGCGCAGTAAATTCTAGCAACCGATTTCCTACCTGTTTGATATCGAAGCGAACCTAGTAAAGATAAGCACGAATTCGCACAGCCGTCTTTTCCTATAGAAATCGTTCGAGACTTTACTCACGAGTATCGCGGTTCGAGCGGTAGTATTGTAATTACGACGTCGCACGTTCGATTTCCTCTCTCGCGTGTTTCGTGCAACAAGAGACATTCACGATCGACCGATAAAAATTCCACCTTTCGACGTCGCGTTTACTCGTTCGAACGGACACGCGTATCGCGACGAAAGAAATTCACCGTTTCGCTGCAAGAGAGGGATGAAAGACGAAAGACGATATCGCGGATTTCTTTCCAGTCTGTTGTTTTCTTTTAAAATCCGTGGTGTACAGAGAGAAAAGGCTGAGACGATGATGGTGTAGAGGGGAAGGAATATCGGAGGAGGATGAGGTGAATAGAATAAGAAGAGGAAGAAGAAGTGGAAGGAAAAGAAGAAGAAGAAGAAGAAGAAGAAGAAGAAGAAGAGGATGGAGAAGACGAAGAAGAGGGGAAAGAGAAAGTAGAAGAGGAGAAGGAGGAGAAGGAGGAGGAGGTGATGGCGGAAAAAGAAGAGAAAGAAGAAGCGACAAACTACGATCGATTAAAATCGTATCGACGTAACGAATTCAATTTCATATAGCTATTCACGCTAATCGAGTAGTGAATGTCAGTCACCTTTCATCTCATTCTTTGTATAATCGTATGAACGCGAAAGACGAATCGTACTTGTTATCGATAGCTTAGAAGGAATAATGTACGAGTCATTTGTCTACGATGCATGAACATCTAGTCTATCTTATCCATTCGATTCGATAGATCCGTAAATCTATTAGATCGAGCAAGAATGCTGCGCAGCGATGGTTAAGTGTTCCTGTGTAACGATGTCCGGCAGTCGATTGCTTTTTAAATAAATACCTGTGTACAGATTCAACATTCTGCAAAGATTCTTCGACGATTTGTCCCGTTTCGTTTTCTTTCGCGGCACGTTTTTCTTCTCTCTCTCTCTCTCTGTTTCCCCCCTTTTTCATTTCTTCATTTTTCTCTTTTCTTTCTCTCGTCCCATCAGCGAGACTCGACTTTAACGATCGTTGCGAGAGGATGACGCGATGGAAATTAATCCACGTCTACTACGAATGGCTCGCGGTCGATGGACGGTTAGACGAGTTGTACGAATTCGAGGGTTTTTCCTCTCCGCCGAGGAAGAAGGAAGCTTTAGAGGGAGAGTTGCGAGTTTTCGTTTGGAAAAGGTGTGCCACCTTGAAGTAGGTCGTTGAAGTAGGCTCGTACGAACGAGAATGCGAAAGGGAAAGCGAAAGCGAAAGCGAGAACGGAAACGAAAACGAGAGAGGGAAAATTCGATTACGGAAAAGGGAATGGAAATCCGTGCAACTTTTCATATATCCTTCTATAGGGATCGTACGTTTTCGCGTGTAACCTATCCATGTAAACGCAGTCGATATTCTGTTTCAGATTCTGTAAACGCATACAAAATGAGAGAGGGAACGATCGGGGAACGCACGGAGTTACTCGACGTGACCGACGGCTATGTCGCAACTGCACGAATTAACCTGGAAAACGAAGAGGTTAAGGCGTACGCGGAGAACCGCGTGGTCGCGGCCGACGAGACTTTCGAAGATGAAGACGACGATGAGTCCGAAAGCGTGGAATACGCGACGGCTGGCTTTAAGGAAGATAGGCAAGAGTATAAGTATTCTTGTCTGAGATGCTTGAAAAGTTACAAGAGAAAGGGTCACCTGGTAGAACATCAGAAAATATTCTGCGGCAAGGATAAGCAGCAGTGTTGTCCGTATTGCGTTTTTCGCACGTACAAGAAATCGAATTTGAAGAAGCACGTCAGTCGTATGCACTGCAACGACGTAGACGCGGCCGTTTGAGCGGCGTTAGACCGTTCAAATTTTCCATGGAAACGAAATCTCACGCGAAAACGTTTTAGTTCTGTAATAGGCTCGCCCGACTAGTCGACTACTCGCGACTACTTACGACAAATTTACGACTACTCGCGACGAGTAAGTGAACGGAAAAAAAAAAAAAAAAAAAAAAAAAAAAAAAAAAAACGGAAAAAAAGGGGAAAAAGAGAAAAAAAGAAAAGAAAAGAAAAGAAAAAGAGAAAAAAGAAATAACGCTATGGACACGCCTGTTTTCTAGGATTTTCGATTCACGCAAAACGCTTTGAGTGTAAGCCTTTGCCTTGTCACGATTTGTAAATGTGTCGTGCTTGTGGTTTGAGAGGAAGAGAAGAAAAGAGGAAAAGAGGAAATAAAGTTCGGTACCGCATGATGTACTTATCCAACGTTCCCGGAACAATCGTGATCCCTTATCCCGTCCCGTACGATACTCGTGGCTCGGTCATCCTTTGTTCGACGGTCGGCCGACCGTCGACCGTGTAAATGGCTCGTTCCGACGCTGTTAAATTCGTTGGAAACGAGCCTCGACGGAGCAAAAGGCAGCGAGCGGATCCTTTCCGCGTTGAACACGGCCAATGACGAATCGGATATTGTGTTTCAGGTGAACTGATCCTTTGGGAGGACTATCAGGTATTCGAGCCTACGACGGTAACCGAGAGGGACGAGTTTCGTTCGGAAAGATGCTCTTACGAGGCTAATTATTTCGGGTCCGATCGCAAGTCTGTCCGAGTGTTCAGGAACAAAAGCACGGATCCCCTCGCAGACAGATACAAGTGTTCGAAATGTTCGAAATCTTATCGTTGGAAGCATCATTTGGTGGAACACGTAAAGGCGTCTTGCGGTCAGAAGAAAGCCGAATGCTGCCCTTACTGTAGTTACAGAAGCAATCGAAAGTGGAACCTCAAGTCTCACATGAAGAGGATTCACGCGGACGTTTAGATCTTCGATCCGTATCGTTCGTGGCTGTTTCACGTTTTCTCGCTCCTTCGTCGTCCGACTTGCGATAAAACGTTTACGTTTCGATTTGCGACCGAGCTCGAAGCTCGTCGACCATTCCCTCCTCTCCTCCATGCTCTCCTTCGTCTTAAACGTTTCGTTTCCAGCCTTCTTTTCACCCTCTGCCGCCGGCTACACCTGTCACACGCCTACGCGCGATCCGAATCTATCAAAGGTACGTTCCAGTCTACGCGATTTTTTCCCTCCTCATCCTCTGTCACCGATGCGGCCCTCTCGCTTTCTCTCCCGATATCCTCTCGTTCCACGCCCTTTTATTTTCCCCCCTCTCCTTTTCCACGCGTATAATTTCTTTTCCTTTCTCCACGAACGGCGTAACGACGAGGATTGGCTTGTTTTTTTTTCCCCTTTTTTTCTTCTTTCCTTTTTTTTTTTTTTTTTTTTTTTTTTTTTTTTTTTTTTTAAAGCCTAACCGGAAACGCTGCTTCGTTGGATAGTTTAACCGTAACCTCTGACGGTGGATGGCGATATTTTTGTGTTCTTTTTTTTTTTTTACAACTATGATTAATTCGTGTTGCAGGACGACGGTATTACAGTGGCGGAAGATCGAGATCTTTCGGAAGAAGATACGCGAAATGCGAACTCGAACTCGAACGCGTCAAGTCAGCCGTCGAAGCAGTGGCCAATGGATTATCCTTGAGGAAAGCGGCAAAAATGTTCTGCATATCCAAGTCTGTTCTTCATCGTTACAGTAAACTGGGAATACCAGTTTTAATGGAGAAATACGTGCGAAACGATTCGAGATCTTACGCGATCCGGGAATAACCATATCCCGCGCGACAAAACTTTATCACCGTTCTTTCGTTCAACGTGTATATATATATATACACATGCAAACACACACACTCGCGCGCACGCACGCACACCGACGCTAACACGAACACGCATATGTATATATAATAGCAACAACGATGATAATAATGATAATGATAATAATAATAATAATAATAATAATAATAATAATGATGATGATGATGATGATGATGATAACAACAACAACAATAATAATAATAATAATAGTAATAATATTAATAATAATAAAAGGACAAATATGGTTAAAAATTAAGCATGGTTCGTTCGTCATACGTATATATATATATACGTATGTATGTATGTACGTATGTATAGGGGTAGTAATTTACTAGCAATCGACCCGAGGTAATTTTTCAAAGGTATCGATTCGACGCTACGAATACCGGAAGAGGAACGAAACGTCTCGGAGTTGGGTTGGTTGATCGATTTTATAGAAACGATTTGAGAAAAATTGCATGACACCCTGGCAAATAGTTTCAGTTTCACTTCCCGTTCCCAGTGGATCGTGAACGGTGTAACTCCCGTGGTTCTCCTCTCCGTAAGCTAGCGTATCGTTTCTCGAGCGAGATCGATGGAAAAAACGATCCCGAGCGAGAACGAAATCCGTGGAAGCGAAATATCACGACCGAGACGAATAAACCGCGCGAGAGTGTCCCGCGTTTTCGGTGATCGTTTCTAATATCCATTTCTTCTGTCTTTCGCATTTTTTCAGAGACTCACTCGCTGGGCTACCTCAACTGCCAGAAAGTCACCTATCCGTGCAAGAACTGCGGCAAGGTATACAATTACTACTCCAGCCTGGCGAGGCATTTGAAGCACGAATGCGGCGTGGAACCAAAGTTCCACTGTCCTCTCTGCCCTTACAGAACGAAGCACAAGTCCAGCTTGAATACCCATCTGAACGGCAGGCATATGAAACTTCTCAGCGAATTCTACACGATGCCGAATGGAAATAAGCTGTCATCTTCCATGGACACCGGCAACTGATTCGTCTTCGCCGATCACCTTTCTAGCTGTCCGCTCGAGAAGAAATATCGGCAACTTACCCGACGATCCAACCATCACGACCATGACCGCGAACTTTCGGTATACGCGATATTCTCGCGGATTTATTCTTCCACGGCTCGCCTCGCGTTCCCGAGAGCGTGTAAACGCGTTCGTTTAAACTCGTTGCCGAAAGTTTGTACTTTTCCATAGCGATTCTATATTTTTCGTGAAACTCGACCGTATGTTCATTCCCGCGCGAATCTTTCTCGCGAACGGTTATTCGTAAGAATTTGCGTTCGTCGAGCGACGAAAGACGATTTCTCGATCGATTTCGTTGCAATTGTCGAGAAAGTTACCCAAACGCCGTATTAATCGCGCCGCGCGACGCGAGTAATCGGTTTGTAGCCAAAGTTCATTTGTCATAGGCTATATCGCGCATCGCGTCGCATTCGAAAGATGGATCAGAATTTAGAGAACAAATATTCGTTTATAGCGCCCGTACCTATTTCGTACCAATAAAACATGAAACTTTCACATTCAGCTGTTTCTCCGATATCTTATTTTCCACGAACGTCGACGTTTATCGTTCGACCTTTGTCGCAACGTTCTTCGTCATGGTAACGTCGACTTTGTTTCTCATTCTCCATTCTCCTCCATCCCAATTTTCCTCTTTCCTCTCTCTCTCTCTCTCTCTCTCTCTCTCTCTCTCTCTTTCTCTTTCTTCTCCATTTTCATCTTCTTCTCGTTCTTTTCCCCCTTTCTCCCCTCGTATCACGGCTGCACGATGCACGGACGATCATCTAACCGGACGATCGACGATTTCAGAGTACAACTTCGACCGCGCGGATAAGTTTGAGCCACGGAAAGGTGAACGGAACGGCGAGAAGCGGCAACTTCCGGAAGCTTTCGCAGCGTGCCGTCTTCGTTTCCGATGTCCTCGATGCGGTAGATGCTACAAAGTCGAACGGTCCTTGAAACGTCATCTGACGATCGAATGCGGAAAGCCGCCGAGACACAAATGTCCCTACTGCCAGCATCGCAGCAAGTATAGGAGCAGCATATCGAAGCACATCGCGCACATTCATCCCAATCTTCCATACCCGTGATTGCTGGTGATCGCCGCGCCACAAAAAAAAAAAAAAAAAAAAAAAAAAAAAAAAAAAAAAAAAAAAAAAAAAAAAAAAAAAAAAAAA